ATTAATTGTTTAATTGAATAAAATAATCATAAATATAACAAACAACAAAAGGACATCCGTAACAAATAACAATAACAGAGACATGTAGCCTCTGTAATTTCACCATCGCCACTATAATATGTTTGAATCTACAGTGTTTGCAGTTATAACTTATTACACAGTAACAACATCACATCTCTGCGGGTCGACCTCGGTCTCTGGTGAGCTCTGTGAACAGCGTTTTGTTTTATCTCCATGGTAACAGGTGGGTAAGGGTTCAGGGTGTGATGTCATGAGACAGTAGTCTGTCCTGATTGTGAGCAGACTGCTTGTAACAGTACAAACTTTTTAAGGGCAGCTGCAGTTACTTCCAAAAGTAAAAAGAAAAAGTGTGTGATTCAGAACGCACCCTGTGATTGGCTGTCTGATCATTTAAACAAAGAACATGTTTCCTTGTGGCGGTTGTTCTAAAATGAGCTGTGGTTGAAGTTACTATTTTCTGATAGCATAGCTAGCTAGTTGAAATAATGACTCCTCCCACTGCTGTGAGGTGATTGGCTGAATAAAAACTCTTAAGTGTTTGACTGACAGGATTGTGAGCCTCTGATTGGCCACAATAAAAAAATGATTGACAGATGCCCCGCCCTCTCGAACTTGCACATGTCTGAAACGTGGTGAAAGGTGGATGTTTCTCTGCAGGTGGATGTTTCTCTGTCTGCATGATGATGGCTGCTTTGCCTTTAAATAGTCAGTCTGTCTTCATGACCTTGCCGTGACCTCATTAAAGGGTCATTCCACCCATTTTTTTAAGGGTTTCCCTGAATGGTACAAACAGGAGCAGATTATGTGTCAGATCATTTTCAGTGACATCATTTCAAAGGAACATTCACTCAGCGTTTTTCAGTCAAGCTGTAACTGTAACTCCACTTAACTGAGCATGGAAACACTGAGTGGCCAGTCTGTCGTATTTGACACTGTGAGAATGAGAGAGTCTATGCAGGTATAGAGAGGTCAAGGTGATGTGTCTTTGGACTCACATCAGCCTCACAAAGCTTTAAATGTTAAGTTGTTGGAAAGCAGTTCACTGTGCAGGTGTTTTTCTTGTCTCCAGTTTGTGCGCTGCAGCGCTGCTGTACCACAACACACACAAAGAGCTACTGGCACATTTTTACAGATACATAACTGAACAAGAACAAGTCATAAATCTTGTGCTGATTGCTCGTGGCGGAGGTATTGTTGTCACAACAATGTCCAAACATGTGCTGGAAGCCAGCGCCTCCGTCTCAATAAAACTCCTCAGATAATCACCCTTTTTTTTCTCCTCTCATGAACACATCCCGGCGCTCTGTCTGTGTCTTCCTCCTGCTCCCAGTCTTCACCCAGCGCTGTGACGAGAAGCTTCCTCTTTCATTCAGGTTCCTCTCTGCCTGTCATTCTCCTCGTCTGAGCCAGTGTCTCACTGTGAATGAGTCTGCATCTCCGACATCATTCATCCTCTTACCTCTCACTCGTGCCAGAGGTAAGAGACTCTTTTGATCATTTCAAAGCCAGGAGTGGAGATAGGCTGCGCCGCGGCTCCCAACTCCTTGGCGCAGCAAGGCGCTTCGCTAAGTCAATAGCGGTTAATGAGAGCCTGGATAAGTGAAAACCACAATACAAATTGAATAAACGGAGATAAGGATTCTTGTAAGATCCAAAAGCAGTGCTCGGGTAATGACTGACGTGATGAAGCAACATTGTTTGCCAGTGAAAAAGCTTTTGAGGGCTTTTGTTCCCGTCACTGAGAGTAGGTACAGCGGGAGGGGCGGCCGGGTCGTGTTGTGAAATTCCAAACCGCCTTCAGGGAGCAGCCATTTCATTTCTCTTTTTTGTTTTTATTTCACTGTTTCTTTGCAAATGTGCTCTGTGATAACCATTATGGATAAGTGCTATTCTCCAACCACAGGTGTCAAGCAGCAATAAAATCTTTGATGAATTGCCCGGGCCAGGTGTTGTGCTGGTGGGGCGGAATTCCTCTGTGATTCATCATAACAGCTTTTGTCTGACACAGCTGACAGGCAGCAGATAAGCCGGCTAGCATGTTAGCGTCGGCCCACAGAGCTTCATCTCCGAGCGCTGCGTCACGTCGTCTTATTGAAAAAAGTGAACTCCATTAAAATTCATTAAGACAGAAGCCTGTGATGTGAGCCGATGGATGCCTGCTGGGCCGCCTCCAGCCTCCACTCCTACTTCACATCATCACTGTGAACATGCACTGAAACAAACTGGTGAGCTGCACAAGGAAGTCGGGACGTAATAATGGAGGCAAGAAACTTTTATTTTCTTGGTGTTTCTGTGGCCAAGTGTCTGCACTCTGCAGAGATTAGCGTCAATCACACGGGGTGGCACTCCTGTCTTTGAGTTTCTGCTGTTGCAGTCATGACATCTATCATTTCTCATGCTAAACAGCTCCTTCTTCTTTTTTATGTGTGTTTTGTTCCCCATGTACAATCTCCCAGACACTCAGCAGGTTTTATAACAACCTTGGCCTCCACATCTCAAACACAAAACATAAAAGGTTTCATGCACCAGGTATAGATTTAATCACAATTGTGTAGTTGAGTCGGCAATGGATACGGAGCACTGGAAAGTGTTTTTATTTGATGAAAATGTTTTTACCTACTTGAACTCAGGGCGAGGTTAGAACAAGTAGGAGTTCCATTTAGTTTGCCAATGCTCCTCATCTTTACTGTCTCTTCTGTTTACTCACTTATGTCCTATTGTCTGCGGCTCTGGTCTGCTGGTTCCACCCTCACCATGAAATCCAGGTGAACTTTCTGAGCCTGCGTCTTTGTTCCTGCTGCTGGTCTCAAACTTTCCTGCTTTGATTGTGAAACATTCTCTCTGGTTATCGTCACAGACACTGAAGAGGCTCTCCTTTAGTTTGCTTTGCTGGCCTTTAGTCTGACACAGTCTCCATCTTTAAATTATATAACCTCTCCTGTCTTTTTACAACACTGTGGAAGGATAACGGTACTCAACATTTCCTGTAGTTCAGGTTTTAACAAATAGGCTACAGCAGTTTTGGTTCAAGTAAGAACAAAGGACATTTCAGGTCTCACACAACGAATGTGGTGTGAGCGTTTCACATGGCAAGATTACACAGTGAGCCAATGCAAAGACGAGAATAGATGTAACCAGGCACATCAGGCGTGTGAGCAGCATGTCTTTGTATCATTCATAAGAGTTTCCATTTTTCAATTTGGGTGAGAAATTCAGGTGACGCTGTGTCACAGAGCCTCTCAGCGCTGAGATCTAGTTGAGATTCTCCTCAAGTCAGAGAATTAGAAGAAAACAACAGAGACTGACGTCATCGTCATCATCATCATCATCATCAGCTCGACCACTTAACGTCAGACAAAAAGAGAACAGGGCGGAGCCACAGGACAACGTGGGAAGAAAATATGTATCTGTGACTTCTGCAAGAGATTTTGTTGAGTTGCTTCCTAGCCAAATGTTCTGTTGGTCTTTTATTGTGGAGGGTACAGGAAGGTGTGAAGCAGTAAGGTGCTGCTGTGACATAAAGTAAACCAATAAAGACGCTGGTTCAGAGCTCGAAGCCTCAGTGTTCACTGTGTTCCTCACTTGATTCCAGCTTTCAGTTGGACCTAACTACAAACCAAGTTAGCCGTTAGCTTCCCTCCCAGTTAGCTAGCACAACCGTTAGCACCGCTGTGAAGAACAAACATTCACCAGCTGCCATAGACTCCAGAAAAACAGTGGTCACAAACGCTCAGGTAACGTAATGCCAAACTTTGCTTTNAGTGTTCACTGTGTTCCTCACTTGATTCCAGCTTTCAGTTGGACCTAACTACAAACCAAGTTAGCCGTTAGCTTCCCTCCCAGTTAGCTAGCACAACCGTTAGCACCGCTGTGAAGAACAAACATTCACCAGCTGCCATAGACTCCAGAAAAACAGTGGTCACAAACGCTCAGGTAACGTAATGCCAAACTTTGCTTTGCGTTCAGTGTGAACACACCATCAGGCCCAGTACCAACACACCATCAGGCCCAGTACCAACGCACCATCAGGCCCAGTACCAACACACCATCAGGCCCAGTACCAACGCACCATCAGGCCCAAGCCGACCCCTCTGTACTGTGACAGAGTGGGACGGAGCAGCAGGGCGAGGTGTCGGGGCTACGTAGCGCCCCAAACTTCAAACCAAGTGTTGAGATGAGAAATCATCAGACAGCTGCACAAGCAACACAAAAAACACACAAATGACTTTTCCTTGTTAATAAAGATTTATAAATAACAATATCCATCATTTATCTTCATTTAATGTTTTATGTTTTGTCTGTTTTTTATTACAAGCATAGAAAATAATCTCCAATGTCTATGTAATTAGCTAGCTAAGGTAACGGTGTTTAGCTGACAGTCCCACATCGTCAAATATTCCTTTGTCACACTTTGAATTTAACTACAGTCCAGCAGCAGAATTGCTGCACATGTTAGCGCTCCTCTGATATTGGTGCGGACTGTGGGGGAGGAGCACCTGTTGTTACCGTTAGCAGCCTGATAATGACGCAGGGTTCTTTTTGATTTGATGACTTGTTTGACAGATTAATAATATGAAACTTAAGTTGAGGATAAATCGGCCCACACAAATGAAATCACCACTGAAGATAACAGCATATTTATAACGTCCGGCACCACTTACGTTCACATGGTCTCGAGCATCGACGACGCCTGATCAGGGTCTGACCCTGACCCCAGCTCACAGGGGACAGGGTGGCACTCCCACAGGAGGAGCAGGGGTTAAAATAAGACATGGGACTGGATAATTAATCATAATTGATCAAGATGATTGTGAAAATGAAAAGTCAGATATTTTCTAGGCTGAGGATTCCTTCACCACTTCATCATCTGATCTGCTGTGTGAACACATTACTGTCCCTATTTCGGTGTCACCCTGCAGGTTGTTTGGTATTGTGGTGGCTCTGATGACATGTCAGGAGACCAGGTGTTTGTGTCTTACCTGTAGTTGTAACGGGCTGAGTCCAGACGCCGCTGCAGCTGCCATTGTGGATGGAATGAACTGCATGGGGTAATTCTCACCTGTGGAAAAGCCCAAAGAAAACACAGTGTAGAACGAGGTGGAGGGGCGGAGCAGATTACTGCACAAGAACTAACCTGCTCTTTACCTTCAGCCAGCCTTTGTCTGTCTGTCTGTCTGTCTGTCTGTCTGTCCGACTGTCTCACTCTTTGTCTCTCTCATGTTTTTATTCATGGCGAATGAAACACGAAGGGTCACGAGTGTTTTATTCGAAGGTTAATAACGCTCATTGTCGGTACACACGGGCGCTTGAGACTTGGGCGATCAGAGTTCAAGTCCAGCGCTGTCTCATCGGGACGCACTCATAAATGCATATCAGAGCGGCGTGTATAACCCCTACTGTTTGTCCCTAAAAGGCTTTCCATGTCCGAGTCTTTGTGGCGCACAGAGTGGAGTCAGAGTCGAGAGGAGAATAATGGCTTTTTAATCCCTTTCTTCATCTCTGCCTCTCTCTGCGGCCTCGTGGGAGTGTGGGCTCACGCAGCAGGAATAAACATGGATTATTCTGTATGAAGTATGGAGGGTCAGCGGTGCACGGCGTCAGGCGAGCACCTGGAGGAATGCATGGAAGAAAGGAATGTGTAAAGGACGGGGAAGAGGAAGAAAGCAGGTGGTGTCACCGATCCTACAATAAGAAGTCTGTTTCTGTGTCAGCGTGTGTGGGAAAGTGTTTTGTTGCACCTGTTTGTGTCAAATCCTCACCAACGGCTAAAAACATGCAGCTTACATGCAATCTTTTAAAGGGACAGTTCACCCAAAATCAAAAACACATTTTCTTGCTGTAGTTGTGTTTGTCAGATAGTTTCAGTGTGAGCTGCAGAGTGTTGCAGATATCAGCTGCAGAGACGTCTGACTCTTTAATATAAAGGATCAACATCAGCGTCTCTCTCAGGAAATCATGACAAAATGTTTGTTTGACTCTTGTTGAGCCTTTCTCTCCAGACAAAGACCTCAGGGTGGAAACTGCTCTGTGTTTTAATGCAGGGACAATAAATAACAACAATAAATTTGGATTACTGTTAATTTATCATGTTGATCTGTTCTGTACGACATCTATTGCACGTCTGTCCGTCCTGGAAGAGGGATCCCTCCTCAGTTGCTCTTCCTGAGGTTTCTACCGTTTTTTCCCCGTTAAAGGGTTTTTTTGTGGAGTTTTTCCTGATCAGCTGTGAGGGTCATAAGGACAGAGGGATGTCGTATGCTGTAAAGCCCTGTGAGGCAAACTGTGATTTGTGATATTGGGCTTTATAAAAAAACTGATTGAACTGAAACCTTTTTAACATATTTGGTCCTGATCCGTACGAGTGTCCGACCTTCATCAGTTCTCCTCCCATGTGCTGCCTCTTTTCTTCAACAGCTCCTGTGTTGATTAGACGGCCCTCGAACACACAAGTATTTGTTTGGAATTCCTTTATATCAAAGAGAAGTGAGACGTCTCTGCAGCTGATATCTGCAACACTCTGCAGCTCACACTCACACTACAGGAGGAATGTGTACTTTGTGCTTCTGTCCCTGTACGTTTGGGAAGTGCATGTATTTTGTCTGTCTGCATCATCTTTACGTGCACGTTGTTGGGTCAGTGTGCACCAGGGGGACATGCTAGAGTGTGTGTGTGTGTGTGTGTGTGTGTGTGTGTGTGTGTGTGTGAGAAAGTGTGAAATTCCATGTTGCAGATGTGTTGTGAAGCCATGGTGCTTTCAGCACACCATAAAAGAGACATTCCAGTCCTAGCTGTGTCCAATGTATTGTTCCCGACGTGAACAAGCACAGCTTGTAAATCTCTCCGCTCATTTCCAGAACATTCCTCACCTGACACACCTCATTAACATAGACTGGGATCCCACTGTGTGTGTGTGTGTGTGTGTGTGTGTGTGTGTGTGCGTGTGTGTGTGTGTGAGAAACAGAGACGTTCTGTTTCTCTTCCAGTTAACAAACTACAGCTTTTGTTTGAGGAAGGTGAACATTGATCCGTTAAACATACATCTCCTCAGCACTCGTCAGTGTGTGACGGACCCTCGGCAGTTGTGCGGTGCATGTGTGTTGGTGTGTGTTTATGTGTGTATGTTTGTGTGTATGTTTGTGTACCTGGCTTGTAGGACATGCCCGGTGGGAAGAGGAAGCCCTGCTGTGCGGCGGCGGCGGCAGCCAGAGACCGCTGGTCGTGAGGAAACACTGGGATCATCATCGGAGGCATGTGACCCTGGACCTGAGACACAGAGACACAGAGACATGTTGGCAAGGGACAGACAAGAGACATGTTTCAAGTCCTCACGTTAAACATGTCATAAAAACAGGATGAGGCTCACGACCACTTCTGTCTACACAAACACTGCATTTATACACAGCACAGAACACAGAAAGCTGAGAGCAGGGAAATGGACACATGGACAGAAAGGACAGTCAGGACATAAGAGACAAAAGAAAGAGTGAAGGAAAAATAATGAAGTGAATGAACACAAAGAGAGAAAGAAGAAGAAGAGTCAGAAACACTGCAGAACAAACATTATACACGTGTTTCCAAACGAAGATGGTGGCGAGGGCCAAAGAGTCTGAGAGCAAACAGCAGATGAAGACGTCCGTTGATGAGAAGCGAACATGTGAAACAAAGCGCCTTTAAAACAACACAGAGGCTAACAGCTGCCTTTCATGTCGGCTTGAAAGACTCTTAAAAAGTGTTGGTTCGGCAGAGTTCAGACGCCGAAGGCTCCGACTGAGGAGAGCAAATCAAAGATGAGCCTGCGGGAATCTATTAGGGCCGACTGATCCATCTCTCTCTGCTCTTTATCTCCTCCTTTTCTTTCACTTCTTTTTCTCTCTTGTAAAATTGTTTGTCTCTTTTCTTTCTCTCAGTCCGTCTGTCTTTGCTTCCGTTTTCTTTCTTCTGGCTCGTTAAGTTTCTGTCTGAAAGATTTTACAGGTCATGTTAAAGGAATGAAATTAAAATAAAGTGCACATGAGGAGATTTAAACTGTTAACACTTGAACTTGTATCAGTCATATTTCAGACGCACTGAAACATGTTGCAGTTTGCTGCTTTGTTTAATTATATTCTTCTATTTTTATTAAATATTATAACTGTCATCACTTCTCATTATGGTATTCTTTTATTTATAGAATAAAACTCTCAAAGTGGGTATTTATTCAGAGCCATGATGGATATTATCTCTGTGTTAATCTACAGTAAATCACTGTACATTTTAATACATTCAAACAATTGCAAAGACGAAATCTGAACGTCGATTCATGTTTTATTAAATGTTAAATTAACGGTAATGCAAAAGACCTAAAACCACTGATGTTAAAAGTGTGACACTGAAACAGCGTCATGAAATTCATGTTTCAAAATCAAATCATAATTCAGTGGTGGCGTCTGACGTTGACATTAAAACATCAGCTGGGCCGCAGCATCTTCTTCTTCTTTGTTTCTTCTTTTAGAAATCATTTCTCTTCTTCTCTCATCACTTATCTTTATTCTTTCTTTTCTTGTCTCCTGCTCTTTAGATTTCTTTTTCTCTTTTTTGTCCCGTTGTTTTTTTCTGTTTTATTATTTTTGGAGGAAGTAAAAATTCATCCTTTCACTCGCTCTGTTTTTTGTCACATTTCGGTGAATCACACTTGTGTCTTGGCTTCTTTCTTTCATTATCCCTCTCTAATTTCTGTTCCTCCTATTTCTCTTCTCTCTGAACGTTTTCTTCATTTCACACCTTTGTTAGCCTCTTCTGGTTTGTCTTCTCTTCTTTTTCTCTGCTGAGACGAGCGCTGGTTGACACCTCTGCTCAGTGGCCTTTACCTCCATTCATCTCCTTTACTACCAATTCATTAAGCAGGCTGACCCCTCCCTCCGTCCTCCGGGGACACTTCATCATTGGAGCCTGGATTTACACCATCAGCATGTTGTGTGGTTACGTGGTGGAGCTGGATGAGCGTCCTCGGGGACGGGAGGGCGGATGAAATGGTTTGTGGTGGGGAGGTTCAAACAGCATGACTAAACACCGAGAGATGAGCAGGAGCATCCTCCGCTTGTGTTTACTATAAAGGGCCACAGATTTTATTAATCGATTAACGCTGTTAACAAACATCAGCATCTTTGGCTTTTTAGACATGCTGCGTTTTTTTGTGTTCTCAAATTCATTGTTTTCAATGCAGATGTGCAGCAGGCGCTCAAACGCCACAGCAACACTGTCAAAGCGTGCACGTGTACCAGAGCACATATGTTTCAGGGTGCGAAGGCTGCACGCTCAGATAAACTGAGGTAACGAGGACCAGCCAATCACAGCTGACAGAAATCTGTCCCTCATTCACACAGACACCACTGGCTTTGATTTTAACAGTAACTGAGTACAACACACGACTGTCACACACACACACACACACACACACAGTTTTACAAGCAGCAAATATATTCAGAACATCTGTGGGTGCAGGTTCAGTTTGATAACGATCAACAGTTTAATCAATAATAATGCAGCATTTTTTAATTGTTATATTTTGTGAGTTAAAATCTGAAAAAGTGACATACATTGATCTGTCAGGTAAATGTAGTGCTGCGATGTTTCCTCTGAAACACACAGGTGCTTTTTTAAAGGGAGTTTTCATACACATCACAACAGATCTATCGCTGTTTGGGCTCTGTTCACCCCTCATTATCATTATCTAATTATTAATTATTATTAATATTATTATTATTATTATTATTATCATCATCACACAGGTCCACCCAAATACACTGATATTATTCACTGCAGGAAATTTATTTTAATTTAATTTTCAAATCCATTTTTTTTCTGGAGGAAAAAATGTATCTTTTAAAGTTTTCTCACCTTTTTTAAATTATTAGAATAATGTGACAAATAAAGGTTTATAGACGGCAAACAGGACGGACGGACAATAACATGAAGCAGTTATGATGTTGTATGTAGTGATATGAGAAGAGTCTGGACTCTGCTCACCCACTTTAAAACACAATCAGGCATCTGTGTGTGTGTGTGTGTGTGTGTGTGTGTGTGTTAGCCACCGTTAGCTTTGTTCAGTCAATGTGCAGTTACATGTGTTCATGTGTTCATCACCTGACCAGCTCTTCAGACAGCCATGTTTAGGTCACACTCCAAAAAAAGCCTGATCGCTAGGGAGGCCCTCGTCTCTCTCTCTCTCTCGCACGCATGCACGCACACACACACACACACACACAGAAGCTGTGTGACGTCTTGTGACACGGAGAGAAGGGAATGAGGAGAGAATAAAAACCAGTCTGTCTGTCCGAGCGCCTAAAAACGAAGAAGAAGAAGTGGGGGGGGGGGGGGGGGGGG